GCTGCCCTCAAAGCTACGACGACATCCACTATCAATTGGCACACACGTCTTGAGCACCCACATCATTACATTATTTCTACTTTAGCTTCTCAAATTCCTGAGTTACATAATTTTTCATCTTCTCATATATGTTCTTCTTGTAAAGTGATTAAGAGTCACAAACTTCCTTTTAATAAAAGTTTTCATGTTCACTCTGATGTTTGGGGCCTAGCACCCCACCAATCTTTTAATGGTTACAAATATTACGTTATATTCATTGATGATTTTACCATATTTTCTTGGTTATATCTAATGCACTCTAAACAAGAGACGTTTACAAAATTTATCCTCATCATTTTCGTTCTGATGGTGGCGGCGAATACCCAAGCAAAACTTTTCAAGAATTTCTCCTAATTCCAAAGTTTAAAATTGCGCAATTGGGTATTGAGGCATTTTCCATTCATGAGGCGAGGCGTAAGCCTCAAGGCATTTTGAGGCGTAAGCCTGAAAATCAAATAATTGTGTGAAGTGAAAATAAAGGTTAAAAGTGATTTTTTAAATAATACCAAAATAATATGTTTTTTTAATTTTTTTTAATATTAAAATTTAAAAATCAATAGCAAAATAATATGTTAAAGAATAACATATTAGCCTTTTATTGAACTATGAAGTAACAAATTGACATATATATGAAAAAAAATTGCACATGATGTAAAGTGACAAGTAATAAATTATATGAAGTAGAATTGAAATCCAAGAACAAAACAACATAAAATATAAGAATTGCATAAAAGTATCATATAAAATCAAGTTTAACTTCAAATACCTTCTTTCTCACTTTCTTACTTATCCACAATTAATTATTAAATAAAGCTACAATAGTTGTCAACAACTCAAAAATCATTTGCACGGTCACCAATGAGGGGAAATCTGTGGGCTCCGAAAATTCGGCCCTGACCTCCGCCCGCTCGATTGTTTTTGCTTTTTCTTTTATTCAGCGAGGGAGTCGTGAGGCTTGCGAGTATGCAGGAGAATGAGTCGGAGAAGCAGCGATGGGAGAAGATTTCGGCTGTGTCCAAGAAAACGAAGCCTTGCGCTTCGTTTTATTAATGTGAATGGCTGTGCTTGAGGTGTTGTCGCGTGAGAAGATTGCTTCGGCGCCGTTCACAGGGCATGGGAAACTGTGGCACACGAGATTTGGCGCAGGATTTGAGCAGGACGCGACATGGGAAGCAGCAGGTAATCATTTTTTGTGATTTTCTTTATTTCCTTTGTTTTGTTTTAGTTAACAGAGGTCAACACTTATCCACAATTAATTCTTAAATAAAGTTACAATAGTTGTCAACAACTCAAAAATCATTTGCACGGTCATCAGTGAGGTGGTTTTTTGGAGTCATCATCATAACAAATTGGTCTCTTCTTTATCTCATCCTATGGAGCCCAAGCCTCCCAATCTGCTTCTCCATCATTTATTTTAGTCATCTTTGTTTTTCATAAATATTTGTCATCAATATAATGATGAGAGTAATACTCCTAAATTTTTAGAGGAGGTGGTGGTGGTATGCGATTTTCAAGTGATCCCCGATGGTGGCTGGGACGAAGGCGGTAGGCTAGAGGTCGAGGTAGTCGAGAAGTTGTTGTGGCTCGGGGGTGCATTAGGGCATGATTTGTTTACATCTTTAGTTTAGGATTTAGGTAAGTTTTAACAAAAATGTATATAAGTAGGGTACTGCCTCACGCCAGCGAGGTGAGGCGCTTCTCAAGGCGGGCCTCAGCCAAGTTGAGGCGCATGCCTCATAAAAATATTCGAGGCGTAAGCCTCAAGGTGTTTTTCAGTGGAATTGCGCAGAGGCGAGCCTCATATTGTGCAATTTTAAACAATGCCTAGATCACGACATCACACATCAAACCAGCTGTCCTCATACTCCCGAACGTAAGCATGGACATCTCCTAGATCTCACTCGAACTCTTCTTCACGCATCTAATCTACCTATTGTCTTCTGGGCAGAAGCCCTATTTACGACCAACTACCTGATAAATTGGTTGCCTTCTAAATCGATTTCGCTTCAAATCCCATATCAAAAACTTCACGGACAACCTCCTACCTACACTAATCTCCGAACCTTCGGATGCCTTTGCTTTCCATGGTTTCAACCTTATGCTCCAAACAAACTCTCTCCAAAATCTTCGCTCAAAGGCTATCGATGTCTCAATATTCACACCAATAAAGTTCACATTTCCAGGCATGTCATCTTTCACAAATAAACTTTTCCTTACAAGTCTCGCCCATCCACCCTATCTACGCCCATTGATACCTTCAATTTCTCCCCTCTTCTTCTAACCCCAACATCTATTACTCCCACTACCCCAAACCAATTATCTCAACACACCACCTCACAACCCGTGCTAACCATACCTGATCAATCAAACATCTTCATTATTTCTCAACCCACACAACTGCCCGACACTAACACCTCTGTCACTCATACAACTACTCAACCTTCTACTCATCTGATGCACACTAGATCAAAATCCGGCATCACTCGCCCCAAGCAAATCTTTGATCTCTCTGCTACTATCTCCACTCCCACCACATACACCCAAGCATCTCAACATCAACACTAGTGATCCTCCATGTCATCAGAATTTCTTGCTCTTCAACAACAGGGTACCTGGTATCTTATCCCGGCTCCACCGGATACGCCAATTTTTGGCAATAAATGGACATTCAAAACTAAAATGCTTCTGAATGGAAAAATCGGAAGATACAAAGCACGTCTCGTCGCCCAAGGCTTCACTCAACAATTTGGAATAAAATATAAAGAAATGTTTTGCCCAGTGGCTAAGATGCCAACTATCAGAATTCTTCTCACATTGGCTCTTAATCGCAGCTGGTCCATCCTTCAAATGGACTTATCTAATGCATTCCTCCACAGCGACTTACAAGAAGAAGTATAAATGAAATAGCCGCCTGGGTTCCTAGACAAACAATATTGTGATTATGTTTGCAAGCTTCACAAATCCTTGTAGGACTCAAGCAAGCACCTCCACAGTGGTTCCAAAAGTTTACCACTTTCCTTCAGCAATTCGGATTCGTGTTCAGCCGCTCTGATCCTTCGCTTCTCATATATACTATATAGTCATAACAATATTCAATTATTCATGATAATTTATGTTGATGATATTCTCTTAATAGAAAATGACACCAGTGTGATTGAGAAACTTCTCAAACAACTACATTCCAACTTCAAGCTCAAGCAAATGGGCAACGTTTCCTTATTTCTTGGCATTCAAATAATCAAAATTGTCATTGGCTTCTTCCTTCATCAACAACACTGCCAAAAATTTACTTCAACTGGCTGGCTTCGAAGACTGCAAACCGTCTCCAACTCCGATGACACCTAAATCCACATCCCGCCAATCTTCAAATCAGCCTTACACCGACCCTCAGCTCTACCGCAAACTGGCTGGCTCTCTTCAATACCTCTCGATCACAAGGCCGGACATTGCCCTCGGCACAGATACTATCTGTCAACACATGCACGCACCGACCATGCAGGACCATCAAGCTCTCAAACAGCTTCTATGATACATCAAAGACACGTCCCACTTTGGTCATCCTCTCACTTTTGGAGATCTTCAACTTCGGACGTATGTCGATGCAGAATGGGCTGTCGATTCAACGGACTGGAAATCAATCACCGGTTTATGTTCGTTTCTTGGACCAAACCTCATATCTTGGTTAGTTAAGAAGCAAACAACATTGGCAAAATCTTCCACCGAAGCTGAATATCGATCTCTCTTCAGCCACCTACGACGTCTTGTGGCTTCATCGCTGAACTTCGGCTACTTCAAACAGCTCCCACCACAATATATTGCGACAATATCTCTGTTATTGCTCTCGCGAATAATCTCGTCTTTCATGCCAAAATAAAGCATATTGAAATTGACTATCACTTCATCAGCGAGCATATCATATCCGGCACTCTAACGATCTCTCATATCAGCTCAACGGATCAAATAGCAGATATCCTTACAAAACCTCTCTCCATAACTCGCTTTAACACTCTCCGTCACAAATTAAGCATCCACCTGATGGATGATTAATTTGAGGGGGCATGTTAGAATACCATCCACGTCATCATGCTGACGTGGCTTACCGCAATGTAATACTGTATCTTCTTTATTTCATTCTTCTAGTTATCTATAAATAGCTACCTTGTACAGCCTTTAGATAACATGATACACAATATGCTTTATCCTTTTCTCTTCTGCATCTCTCTCTCGTTTTCTGTCAAGAGCTAGCCAAGGGGTCTTTCAAGCGCCATCTCTCGGTTTTGGCTCTGTGCTGCTCACGGTATTCGGTAAAATGAAGGAAATAGAAATATAAGTGATTATACCTTATATATATTGTCATTTCTCTAGACTAAAGCAGTCGCTGCTTTTCATAACAGTCATTGCATTCTGCGCTTAGTGGAATTGGCTATTAGATGAATAGTAATATTAGAAATTGAAGTAATTAATAGTAATAGTAGAAAAACTTTATGCTACTAATTAAATTTTTATAAGATATATATATCTTGACAAAAAAATTGGCAAATGATCTGATAAAAAATGAGTAGAATAACACAAAATAGTTTCATGGTGGGACTAATTAGATTTTTTTTTAAGAGGCGAGGGATCAAAATAGTCATTTAATATAATTGTGAACCATTTTAGTCCTTCATAAAGAGTCAATGAATCATTTTGATTTTTTTCTATTTTTTTTTCCTTTTAGTTCGAAGCTTCCTAGTTTATTAATTCATAATTAAATGAGCTTTAATTCAATGCACTGACTCCCATTTCATTTCATAAACCTTTTCATGTAAATGTAAAGAAAAGTTAGCTTTATTCCTTTCATGCTGATGAAAATTTTAGCAATGATTTGTTATTTCTATATGAATTGAGACAAGTCATCAATGCAAAATATTCTCATTCAAATTGCTCTTTTATACTAAAGGTCACCTTTTCTTTTTGTTCAGATACTTGGGGAGAAACCTTTCCAGTTTCCGAGCCAGATTGGGATTTGATCATTGCGAGCGATATCCTTTTGTGTAAGTTTTTTGTTTGTTTTGTGGGTAAAACTGCCCATTTTCTTGCCAATGTGAGATTTTGACTTAGTTTTTTTCTGGTTCTATAGATGTGAAACAGTATCCAAACTTAATCAAAACACTGTCCTTTCTGCTCAAAAACTACAAAGGAAGAAATATGAAGAGTGAAGTAGCTGGAAGTTCTCAGCATAGGAGGCTTGTTACTGTTTCAGGTGAATAGTAAAAGCCATGAAAATTTTAGCTTCGTTTGGGACGACTTTTTTACTGCTTTTTAAAGCTATTTTTTAGTAGAAAAATTAAACTTTTTTATATTGAAAAATTTCTTTAAGAAGCATTAAAAAAGCCGTCCCAAAGCTTTAGTCTATTTTACAAGGCCCGTTTAACACATTTTTTGCAGGAGAGGAATTTCTTCTGCAGCAACCTGTGTTCTTGATGAGCTGGCGGCGCAGGATTGGTGGAGAGGAGTCTCTTTTTTTCTCTGGTTGTGAGGATGCTGGATTGGTTACTAAGCATATTGGATCTCGTGTATACTGCATCAGTCCAAGAAGAGAGACTTAGGTTTCGTTTGGGATGGCTTTCTTACTGCTTCTTGAAGATGTTTTATAGTACAAAAATTTTAATCTTTATACTAAAAAGCTACTTCAAGAAGCAAGTCCCAAACGAAGCCTTAAGCTTCTTTTATAATAGTTTTCTTGCTAATTTTTAAAGCAGTTTCTTAACATAAAAATTTTTTGAATTAGAATTTTTTGTAAAAAAAATTGTTTTAAAAAGTAGTAAGAAAGCTGTCTGAAACGAAGCTATATCATATTTAAATTTATCAACACTCATATGAAGTTAAATAATAGGCATATTAAATGATTAAAATTTTTAGAAGCTTTTTTGTGTCTGAAATACAAATTAGGAATTGAGAATAAACCAATTGATGTAATGATCTCTTCCACATAATTTTAGGCTCTTTGATCTTAGAGAATATTGGGATAAACAGCTCAAGTTGGAAAGCCTACTTGCAATAATTAATAGTTATCTTTGTTAGAGTACATAACTTTGCATCATTAGGTATTTCTTTAGAGATTTTTTTCTCTTCTTTTAACAACATTATGTGAGAAGTTTTCTCACACTTTGAAAAATATAAGATAGCTTATTAAGAAATAGATTTTATAAGCTCATCTTTATAAGATATGTATAAATAATAGTGTCATCAGTTATATTTAGGCTTCATTTAGGATATTTTTTATTATTTTTTACACAAGCTTTTTTAGTATAAAAATTTCTTATAATCAATGAAAAATAGTAGCAAAATATTATTTCAAATGAAGCTTTAGGTTTTGTTTGAAACAGTTTTATTAATGCTTTTTAAAATAGCTTTTTAATATTAAAAATATGTGAAAAATAAAAATCTATTTAAAAAATTATTTTAGAAAGTAATAAAAAAGTTATCCCAAACAAAAGCTTAGTGACCATGTGGGGAGAATACCAATTCATGCCACTTGTAGGGCTATTGATGGTATTTTATTGTTGTTGATTGATTTTATATGATGACATTTTTTTTGTAATGTTCTAAAGAAAGTGATGCTTTACTATTTCTATAAGCTATTCTAAAAAAATTATGAGATTGTTTGGTTTGCTATTAGTAATTAATTTATATGGAGATTTTATGTTTATATCTTAATTAGAGGAAAAAAAAATGTAAACTATTTGGAGCATAGTTAAAAATTTTATCAATCTTTTGTTTACATATTGTTGGTCAAATGAAAGTTTATTATTTATAACATTGCTTAGTAGGTAAAATAGCCATATAGGATGTTCACTTGCTAATTTTTTAATTTGTTGAAAGTATCATTATTTTGAGAAATCACAAAGTAAATATCATTTAATATTGTTTGTGGCTATAATCCTATTAAGTCCATTGATTTGGCTATTAATTAATCACATATAATTTGTTATGCTTGCATTTACATTTACACATGAATGATTTTTAATATCTTCATGCAAAGATTAAAAAAAAAAATTGAAAATAAAGCTAAGTAATAAAAAAAAATCAAATTTAGAAATTGAAAGAATTCATCAAGAGAATTTAATGAGGATGATCTTTGCTCCAAAAAAAAAAAGTCACAAACCCTCACCTTTTATGTTAGAATTCTATTCTTCTTGAGATAGATTAATCTTAACTTAATTAGATTTCCCCTAATGTTTATTTAGATTTAAAGTACAAATTTCTTATGAGCGTAAGTCAGTATAATTAATTATCCTTGATCAAGAATGGTTATTTTGGTACAATCTTAAATTTAAACGTAATATGTTGAGATTTATGTAAATGAATGGAAGATGTTTATGAGAGATTGAGATAGATTAGATCAAAATTTCATAAATTTGTCATCCTAGGAATACATATGATCTCAGTCTACTAATGTTAAATGTTCATAGGCTATAAAATCTAGAAAATTTGATTAGTATTCATGATATGCACCCCGTCAGGAATCGAGAGTAGAGCAAGGTGATTGTATATAAATTTTAGTTTATTATGATTTTGATGTTTAATTAATTTTATGGGCTTACTAGCATGGAGTTGGTACAAATATGATTGGAATCGAGGCTTATATCTATTAGAATGCCCAAATTTAATTGGGATGAGGCTTATATCATTTCGAAAACTGTATTTTAATTGCATAGAGCTTATATCTATTGGAATGCTCGATCATAGATTAGGATGTTTGATTTTCTCTTCTCACTTTCAATCTTTAAACTTATTTATAGTTGAATAGACACTAGGACTTATATTTAATAAATATAAACTTCCAAAATGGCACAAAAGAAAACAGAGATTTATGTAGAAACTTCCAAAAAGAGAATTCATGGACATAGCCTAATTGAAAAAATTTCACTAATATTTGTCATCAGTTATAAATTACAGCCTTCTTTGCTACATAATAGTAGAGAATATGTATTAATATTTATTTGATAATTCGGTTGATTCAATTGCTACGAACATAGCTATAAAATGAGCTATAGTATAAGATTATGAATTACAATTAAATATTTTTATGCCTTATTGCTCATTAGTACTAATTTAACAACCAAGAATTCATCATGTAATTAAATAAATTAAAAAAATACTTTTTCTTCTTATAATTATATTTTTAAATTATACCTAATGCTTGTAATTAATAATTGACAAAAACTTTTGAATTGAATTATTTTAATTATAAAATATTAAATTTAATATATTTCTTCAAAAATCCTGATTATCTAATACAAAATAAGAGCAAACAAATCCACTTAAAAATGTCTATTACTGTTCCCAGCTGCAACGGCTACTTAAGATCATATTTATTATTCCTGCATGTATATAACTAGGACTTTGTTTGCCATGACTTTCTTACTGTTTATATAATAATTTTTTAATAAAAAATATTTTGAAAATAATAATAATGATAAAAAATTATCTCGAATGAAGACAATACGTCACTTGGGACAACTTTTTTATTGTTTTCTAAAGTAGTTTTTTAATGCAAAAATTTCTCATTCAAAATAATAAAAAAATTATCCCAAACAAAACCTTTCAAAAAATTTATTTTTTTATTAAAAAATTACTTTAAAAAACAAAAAAAAAATTATCCAAAATGAAACATTAGGGACAATTTTTTTAATGTTTTATAAAAGCAACTTTCTAATATAAAATTATTTTATAAAACAATAAAAAAATGTCTCAAACGAAGCCTAAACTAAGCTCAGCTTCAGAATAGATCATTACTAAATTGCCAAACAAAATCCATGAGAATCATACAATCTGCAACCCCAACTTCAAAAGAAATTGACACAGATCAAACTGTAACACATTTTGAAGTATAAAGGTTCCATACTTACTTAAATCATATAATAAACTCTACAAAGATTACGTTCGGCATAGAAAGCTATTTCCCTGAAGCACAAAACCTGTTAGTTAGCATCTTCAGCATCCCCAGCAGCTCCCTTGAGGTGCAGGTGCTTCTCTCTCTTCTGAAACTCCGTCAGCCCCTTTCCACTTCCAGTTACTCCAACTTTGCCCGTTGGATCTTCAGGAGATTTGAATATGCTCTCTCGTTTGCGCCCCGAGAAAAAGCCAATCTTCAACATTACATAACGAAGGAGATAAGAAATAATTTTGTATTACACTAAGGCTTCATTTGGGATGGTTTTGTTATTGCTTCTTAAAACGGCTTTCTAGTAAAAAATCAAAATTTTTATATAAAAAAAATCGCTTTAAGAAGCAGTAAAAAAGCCGTCCCAGACAAAGCCTAAAAGCACAATAGAGAAGTTGGCACTAACAAAATCCATAGAAAACATGCAATAAAAAGAGGAAATGAAGGCAGGAATTTTGCACTCGGTACAAGTTCTTATCACTGTAATGCCCACCCATCTTAAAGGAGATTTCAGCCAGAATTTCAATTAGGAATCATATATGCATCTTGGTTCCTTCCATGGTGGAAAGGAAATATGGAGAGAGAAGTTTAATAGATTTTGTTGTCATAAAGACTGAATCACAATAGCCAAAGATCATCTTAACAAGGGCTGATAACTATGCGAAAATAAAAAACTTGATGGATGGTCACTCAAATTTTGAGTAGATTTTGATCTACTCAAAATTTAAATTGATTTGATTTGACTCCAGGATAATAGCTCCGAAGTAGTTCGATTCAACTACAAAACGCAAGTTAAGGCATTCCAAAGCTAGCAAAGGGTTCCTTGCCATCAAAGTTGACATGGAACAGGCATATGATAGAATGTGTTGGGCAACCCTTCAGAAAATTATGTTAGATTTGGGTTTTCCTTTCAAGTTTGTCAACTTGGTGATGGAATGCATTTCAGATCCTAGATTTTCCATTTTGATTAATGGGTCAAATTCCAAGTGGATTGAAGGGAGAAGTGGATTCAGACAAGGGTGTCCACTTTCTCCTTTCCTTTTTATTTTATGTTCACAACTTCTATCCAATTGTTTCTCTGAGGAAGGTTCGAAGGTGGGTGTGAAAATCTCTTCTAGAGCACAAAGAATCTCGCATCTCCTTTTTGCAGATGATATCTTGGTCTTTACTGAAGCCAAGATTAATAGTGTGAAGAAGGTTAAATATATTGTTGAAAACTACTGCTCTTGGACCGGTCAGAATATCAATTTTCTGAAATCTTCTTTGATGTGCAGCAGCTCGGTTAGGAGGAGTGTATTGTTTTCTAAAATGCTGGGAATCAAATTGGTGAAAGAATTTGACTATTTGGGAATCAAGATGGCTATGAGAAGACTTAAATACTCTGACTTCCAACCTTTACTGGATAAATCTATTAAGAAGCTTAATGCTTGGAGTAATAGATACATCTCTCTAGCAGGTAGACTGGTTTTGATTAAAACAGTATACCTTTCTCTTCAAGTTTTTATTATGTCTTATTCTCTTGTTCCATTGAGAATCTTGAAAGAATTTGAGAAATTATGTAGAAACTTCATTTGGAATAGAAGTGATGGCAATCATGGGATTCATTATGTAGCTTGGGAATCCATATGTAAACCAAAATAGATTGGTGGATGGGGAATGAATTCTGTTATTGCTAGAAGAGATACTTTGAGATCTAAGTTTGCTTGGAGAATTATTGACAATCCAAATTCTTTATTGGCCAGAAATTTTCTAAGTATGGAGATAATTGGTTGGACAATGTGAACTATAGAAGTAACTCTTCTACTTCTTGGAAGATTATCCACAATGGTTGGAGAGCTCTTAGTAATTTTGTTAGATGGAAGGTGGGTGATGGCTCCAAGATCAATGTGTTAAAAGACACTTGGATCTTGGATTTGAGTTTAAATAAATGGCCTACATTTGTTGGAGTTATGGTTGATGAGAATATAACCCTTGATCACTTCATTCTAGAGAGTAAATGGGATGTTGATAAACTGAGATTGCACTTTGGTGAGACCTGATGAAGCTTATTTGCACCATTCAAATTGCACAGAACTCTCAAATTGACCGTATGGAGCTGAAGCTGAAACTGACAGGAAAATCAATTGCTGCATTACTAATGGAGGATAGTTTCAAAGGCTACCAGAATGATGATCTAGCTTCTTGGTTGTATAAAGTTAAATTGAATGGCCGGGCAGAACTCTTCATTTGGAGGCTGCACAGAGATGCCATCCCAACTGAATCTTTTCTATTCAAAAGGAGATTATCGGGCTCCAGCTTGTGTCCATGGGGCTGTGCTGAAACTGAAGATGTGAACCATGTTTCTTCTACCTGTTCTAAACTATTGAAGGTTATTCAAATTTTAAGAAGCTGGGGATTCCAGATTCCTAATTTTAAGAATTGGGATGATTGCTTGGTTTGTCTCATGAGATTAAAGGAGAAAAATATAATGTTAGTCAGGATCTACCTGACGTTGATCTGGTTTGTTTGGAACAATAGAAACAAGGTAAAACATGGCAAATCGAGTGATAGTAATATCATGATCGCTGCATCAACGCTGGCTTTTCTTGGATCTGCTAAATTTAGCTCTCCACTTTCGGATCACTGGGTTGTCAATCAGTCCATTGGATTGTGTTCAAACAAATGGCAACCTCCTCCTCCCAAGTGGATCAAAATAAATTTTGATGCTTCCCTTCAAGATAACTATATAGTAGGAATTGGTGGTATAGTAAGAGATTGTAAAGGTAGATTTATCCTAGCCTTTGGCAAAGGTAAGGTGCATTGGGACATTGCTCAACTTGAGCTCTTGGCTTTCTCTGCTATCAAAGAAGTGTTGCACGATAGACTACATGACGTCAAAGGCATTATATTGGAAGGAGATAATAAAAATGTCATCCTCTTTCTTCATAAACTGTATAGCAAACCGAAAATGAGGGGATGGAGCATGGACAAAGAAGACTTGTCTTTCCTTGGTGAGTTCAATAATGTTGTCTTTCATTGGGTTAATCGTAGTTGTAATAAGTTAGCCGATTATTATGCTAACATAGCTTGTTCTTATGATTTTATTTGGGACTTTTTTGATGAGAGCTATCTTCCGTCTTCTTTTATTGATTTATTGAAAGAAGAATGTGATAGTATAGCTGCCTCTCTTTAGTTTGTAACTTTGACATTTTTATTTTAAAGCACCTTTGCATCTTTCAAAAAAAAAAAAACTACAAAACGCAAAAGAAAGCGATGTTTTAGTAACTAGAGTGTTCATAACTAGTATATCATTATAAATATATTATGTCCATATAATAGGGGCCATTTAGAGGCTGTTGGTTGTAGGCTTTAGGAGAGCATAGCATTCCTTTTTTTATGTATTTCATTTTTTTGGTGTTTAGTTTCAGAACATAGAAATACAAAATAAAATTTTGAGAATTTTAAATATACTTTAGTTTAATTTTGAAGAGTCGAGTTCCACGAGCCTGAAGAGCAAGAAAGGGGCCAGCGGCAATAGAAGCCGGAACAACAAGCCCACTACGTTTTAGACGGGGGCAAGTGTGCAGACTAGATTCAAAATATGGAAGGATATTGACAAAGGAGAAAAATGTACCGATTCTCATTATTGCTAACCAGCTAACAATCCAAGAAAATGGGCTGTTTGAAAGACCGAACGAAGAGCTAAAGCGAGAATGAATGTCGTTAGTCAAGTCCGTTCCACAAAGAAATTGTAAACAAGATTCTCGCATCAATGACTGACAATGCTATCGCGGAGAAGGAAGATACACAATGAAGCAAATCCCTCAGAGATTATAAACTCAAATGAATCCTCTAAATTTCAAATCCTGCATTTGCAGAAACCTCAATTGTTCTTTCTCACATCAAAATGTCTTCTTCACCATCATTGTTTAAAATTGCAGAGGCTCGCCTTGAGGCCTCGCCTCAGCGCAATTCTAGTGAAAAATTTAGAACCATGTCATGAAATTTTGGCATAAATTTTATGATAAAAGTGATTAGTGCATACGTTCCTTATAAAACAACGGAAGAAAGTGTGAAAAAATACTTTTTAAAATAGATGAATAAGCAATTACAATATATGCCTAAAGAGAAAAAATTTATTGGAGGTGAATTAGATGAAAAGAAAGGGCTTATATTCAAATCATTAAAGATTTGTATGCAGGAGCTATTACTTGTGTTCAAACACAAGGTGGTTTGACCAAGTATTTTCTTATTTCGGTTGGATTACAACAAGGATCAGCCTTAAGTCCATATCTTTTTGCTTTAGTCATGGATGTTCTCACTAGACATTTGCAATAGGATGTACCTTGGTGTATGCTTTTTGTTGATGATATTCTTCTTGTTGATAAGACTAGAGAGGGAGTTGAAGGTAAACTTGAATTATGGAGGTCAACCTTAGAGTCTAAAGGTTATAACTTGAGTAGAACTAAAACTGAATATATGGAGTGTAATTTTAGTAGCAATAGACCTAGTGAGGGGATTGTGACTTTGGATGATCAAGTCATTAATAAGAGCACACGTTTTAGATATCTTGGTTCAATTGTTCAGAGTTATGGTGAAATAGATGGGGATATTATCAGCAGAATTCAAGTTGGATGGTTGAAGTGGAGGAATGCATCGGGCTTATTGTGCAATAGAAAAGTTTCCCTCAAACTTAAAGGAAAATTCTATGAGATGGTGATGAGACTTGCAATGCTTTATGGTGCCGAATGTTGGCCATTAAAAGAGAAGCATAATACTAAGTTAAGTGTTGCAGAGATGAGGATGTTTAGGTGGATGAGTGGCTTGACCCTTAGAGATAGGATATAAAATGAGCATATACGTGAAAATGTTGGAGTAGCTTCAGTGGAAGATAAGATTAGAGAGAGTTGCCTTAGATGATTTGGTCACATTAAACGGAGTTCTTCCGATGACCTGGTTAAGAAAGTTGAGGTATTAAATTCGACTTATGTTAAGAAAGGTAAAGGTAGACCTAAAAAGACTTGGTTATAAAATATTAGAAATAATCTTTCTTTATTATATTTAAATGAGAATTTGACTTTTAACCGGACTCAATGGCGAAAAAGGATTCATATAGTCGACCCCACATAGTGAGACAAAGGCTTGATGTTGTTGTTGTTGTGGTGGTGAATTAGATGAACAAATAGGCTCTAAAAGGATAGTTATGAGAAGATTCATGGTGACTCC